CCAAATATTGTGGATGTTTGCCCTTTTTTTTTTTTTTTTTTTTGTGGTGGGGAGGTCACCTGCATTGCTTGCACATCTCCAAATGTTCAAGGATAATTTATTAATTTGAAAGTTTGAGGACTAAAATTAAGGCAGTTAGAAAGTTCAAGGACAATTTGTAATAAAAATTATTTTTTATTTGAGAGATATTATAATCACTACCTTTAATTCGAAGATGAGGAGGACCACCATATTTAATCCTGCATAATACAGAGAGCTGGGACATAAGAAAATTATTGAAGGAGGCCAGGGGTCAAGTAATGGAAGTCATGGGATTGATGGAATTGGTGAAGTTCGGAGCTGGAGTTTCCATTCTTTCTTTGCCAGAATATTATTTTTTGTTTTGTTTTTTATACCTATATTTTGATACCTCTTTTATTTGGTTTTTGTAGGAAAAGTTAATTAAAGAGAGCATTATTACCATACTTCCTATATTGTCATCGATTCTGCACTCTTGGAAGAATTTCAAATGAAAATCGACTTTTCGAATGAATTTTAGTGCAAGGCCAATTGTAGAAGAAAGCTAAGATATTGAAGATCATTGTATCAAAGTTTCATAATTTTCTACCAAGCCAAATGCTCCAGACCTGCAAGTCAAGACAGCCTAAGTTGAAATCCCGTCAGAACTGCACTGCTGTGGAAGAGTGAAGATTTGAATATCTTTCCGATTTTTCCTAGTGGTGTGTAATATATGCTTGGAAAGCTTAGAGATAAAGCTACGTTTCTCATATTTTTCCAGAATTTTCTAGGAAGTGGAACGACCCCAAAACGTGCGTGCAAGTTGGCTGACGTGTTTCCAAGTCAAATAAGGATTCTTTCCTAGTTTGTTTCCTTAATTGTTTGGAATTTGGTTTTGCTTTAGGAGAGTTTTTCCAGACCTTTTTAGAGTAGGGTTTAGTTGTTTTACACTATATAAGGTCACCCTAAGTTCTCTCTAGGGAGGATCATCTTTTCCATCATCTTCCTATACACAACTTTCATATAACCAGAAAAATATTAGAGAGAGCCAAGAATTTGCTGCTGCACTACTTGAGGAGCTTTCGAAAGTGGTTGCTGTGGAGAATCCAGAGATCAAATCCATCGGCCAAATCGGTTTTATGACAACAATTCTCTTATTTATCTTTTCTTTTGTCATGAACTAATTTTCCTTGCTAGGGCTACGATGTAGCCTAACCATGAATACTCAATTTTTATAGTTATATTAATTCCTTATTATTATCCCATGTTGAGTATTTGTTACTGTTCTTAATGATTTAAATATCTAGCTAATATTTAATTGATGATCCAAGCGGAGACCGAGAGGAGATGTTTGGTGTTTGCTTCTTGTAACAAATACCATGACTTGAATGAGTGCCCGAGAGGGACTAACATGACTCATGCAGTTTTCTTGTAGGTTCTCATAGAACTTAATGGGTTCTTAGTTTTCTAAATCCGTTGCTCGAGAGAGAATGGGTTGTTAATTGAGAATACTTTTGGTTGAGCCCGAGAGGGGATATCGAATGAATTAGGAGAAACCAACTGTCAACAGGGATAGTAATTAGGGTTAATTGGCTATAAGAATTAAGTAGAATTGGTTATGGTGAAATCGGATGCTCTAGTGTCTCATCATCTTAATTTTCTATCGTTAATTAAATTGTTATTTTTCATAATTATTTTAGTTTTCTTGAATCAATCAATCTTCTTAATTAACTGTTCAAATAAACTTCTAAATTAATCATAATTGGTAGTTAATAGGAAATTACAGTCTTCGTGGGAACGACACTCTACTTATTTCTATATTACTTGTACGAATTGTGCGCTTGCAATAATTTCACAACAGGTAGCGTTTTAATCTGCCGGGGACTGTTTTATTTTCTATTAATATCAATATATTTTAATTCTGAGTTTAATTTGAATTTCTTCTTTTTGTTTCAGGTACTTTGATCCGTGTATGCACCGTTCTCGTACCCTAGAACTCATACCACTTGACCCAGAAATCGAACGTACGTTTCATAAGCGGAACAAACAAACTTCATATTTTATTTATAATTTATTTCAAGCATTTCATTAACTGCCATAATTGTAATTAATATACTCCCTATTAATAGCATATCAACCACCCCATTTCTTTTAGTTGTCATTCCCTCTCACATCTTGCCCCCTAAAATTACAAACAAACAAAAAAAACTGTAAATTACATATCCAATAATGTACCTATGAAAAATATAATATAAATATATACATATAAAATATAGCTATATTATTTACCAAAAAAAAAATTAATAAAGTTAGTTACTTTGTAATTGCATATATTTTTCATAATTAAAAATAGCTACGCAATAATTTATATAAAATATAGGTACATTATTTA